GATATCTGTCTCCTGCATCGAGTCATTTAACAGGAGAGGTCAGACACACAGACCTCACTTCAGGTTTTGGACTTTTTCTCTCATCCTTCAGTTTTGGCGAGATGTTTGATCATTTGAACATTTATTAAGACAAAACTATGCAAAACGTTTAGAATGAAAAAATACCGTTTGGTGAAGCTGTTATGAAATGTGAGCCCGACTACATAATGCTGTTTTTATGAAGCCAAAAAGACAAGAAATCACTGATTTAACAGTGTGTTGCATTATAAAAGCTTGTTGTATTGTCTATCAAAGACATCATCAGGGACAGCTCACATCCTGGGTCCCATATGTTTGACCTGTTGCCCTCGGGGCAGGCGCTACAGGGGCATCAGGACAAAAACCAACAGACTACAAAACAGTTTTTTTTCACCACTCTGAACTCACACTGAACTCACTGAATTCCCGCCACTGTTCTTGTGAATCAACTGACAAGTTTTCTCTCAGTTTGCAATATGTCTCATGTACTCAGGTGTAATCTACCACAAGTATTTTCTTAGGTAACTCCGTTGCTCGCTGCTATTGTAGATATTTACATTTTATATCCATTTTATACCCATTGTCACTTATTTATCTTTTTATATGCATCTATAGGCTCTACAAACGTCTTGTTTTTATCTTGCACAGTTTTTTTTGTTGATTTATAGTTGTTCTTTGCACTGAATGGGATTGCACCCAGTTTTGTTGTACTTTTTTTGTTATGATGACATTAAAAGGATTCTGATTCTGACTCTATTGGGCAAAATCTTCACTTGAAGCGCTGAAGGACAAAATGAAAATATATTTTAAAAAATACAAGTAACTCTAAACTGTAATAAAGTAAATTGTTTGAGTAAATATAAGGAGTTACTTTTCACCACTTTTAACTTCTAATCATTTTTTTCTTACATGCCTTTTATTTTGAAAGCTCCATTTTTATTGTGAAAGGCGAAACGACTTTTTGTAATCGGTCGCGGAAGAAAAGCGGAAGTGACGCAACCTCTCCGATCTCGAACCATGCTTGAATGGAGGTGACCTTAGTTCCAGTGAAATTGTGAAAGTAGGGAGGCTTCCTAGTGGGTCCGAGCGCAGGTTCTCCTCCACGGTCCGGTCCGGTTCTAATGGTCAGTCCGTCCTGAGGTTCTCTGAGGTTCCCGACAGGCAGCAGAGATGGCGGAAGCACATCAGACACGCGTGCAGGTGGCGGTGGAAGAAATGGTCCAAAGCCTGGAGAAGGAGCACATCCGCAAAATGCAGGTGGGTGTCTCACCTGGGTTCTGCTCAGGTCCATGAACACATCAGTCAGTTCTACCTCCTCGGAACCAGCTGGTTTAATTTGCACAGGAACTTAAAGTAGCAGCCGTGCAACGTTTTACCTCCATGCTGTGAATATTGTCTATATTCCAGGTCCTTGCAGTTCACAGCAGTGAATCAAAATATTCTCCAGACTTGTTTAATGATGTGATTTGTCCAAATTATTACATAAAACATGTGAAACCAATGCAGATTCTTTATTTCACAGCCACATGCTGTATTTGCAAGTGTCAAAATGTGCCAAAATTAGAAACTAGTTTTGATACAGAGGCAATTATGGCTAGAAGACAAGCCTGGTGTCAAAATGTGACCTTGTGCATCTCATATAATTAGAATATGGTGGACAAAGCTTGATGTTGCTCAGATTCAGTATATTCTAGACTCTGGGATTCATGAGCTGTAGGTCGCTGTCATCAAAGTTGAAACAAATAAAGGCTGGAAATATTTCAGTTTATGAGTCCAGAATGTGCACAGTTTTCACTTTGAGCAGTGTTTAATGAAAAATATTCAACCATGTTCTAATTATATGAGATGTGCTCATATAATTTGATCAACCGCATAGCCCACATGATAGAATTTCTCTCCAGTGAATGTTCAGAAATAAAAGGTAAACTCATTCATTCATTCATTCAACCTTTATTTAAGCTTGTAGTACAGTGAGAGTCAAAGGCCTCATTTGTAGGAAAATAGAAAATGTAGGCACATGAATGAAGATAATTCAAAACCTGTTTTGCCCTAAGGATGAAAAAGAGTCCAGCTTACGACTGTGTGCAGGTTAATCCAAGTTGTAGAATACATTACTGGAAATAGAAAAGTAATACACAACACTGGCAGTGATGCAGTGAAGTAAAATGAAATCATAACGACATGTTACACCTGAAAAGTGAAATATTACACATTCTATTGAGCTGTTGTTCATGAAAATGAAATATTGCCTGTTGAGGATCGGGTTGATGCAGAACCCCATGGTAGGGATGCTTAGTGTTGATTATAGAAAAGGAATTGGGCTGAGCAAAAACAAAGTATTTGCCTTACATTGTGACACCTGGATGAGACGTAACATTCATTTTGAGAGCTCAAATGTGTTTTACAGCCTTGGAAATTTCATGCCTGTCTCCTGTATTAATGAAGTTATAATTAAAAAGCACAACACTTCAACTCACTCATATTCACTTTAAGGGGCTGTAAGTTGGAAAATATTCATAGCATTAAGGTGTACAATATAATAGAGTGAGTCAAAGTTTGTATGTCTTCATTAAATATATACTGGAGCTGATTCTGAAGTAGTGAGCTGAGAACCTTTTTTTTTTTTTTTTAAATACGAAATGACCCAACAGTTTGTGTGCTCCTTCTGCTGCAGGGTCGCATGTTCAAGTGCAGCGCCGACTGCTGCGAACGCTCCACGGACTCCATGTCTCAGGTTCATCACTGCATCGAGAGGTGTCACACTCCTCTGGCCCAGGCTCAGGGACTGGTCACGTCAGAGCTGGAGAAGTTTCAGGTGAGAAGCTCGTACCGTGCAAAAACTGAACACCTGTCCACACGACAGGCCTTCAATGTTGATCGTCTTTTTATAATTTTATCATAGCGAGTAAATAGTTACAGCATCTTCTAAAAGACGTGAAAAAAGTCTTGGTATGTGTAATAAATTATGTTTAAAAATAGGATGTATTGAAACAGTAAAAATGCCCAAATTCACACTAGATGTTTTTTTTTGAGTCGCCATAGTTTTGTACATAAGTCGTATATGTTAAGTCAAGAGATGATCCAAACTGTTTTTCTGCTCAGATTTCCTTTGCTTTTAAAGCAACATTATAAAATTTTTAAAAAGAAAAAAAAATTAAATAATAATAAATTAAAAATAAATAAAAACTTTTTACTATTTTTATTATTTTATTTATTTGTCTTTATATTTCTATCTTTATTAGCTTTTTCTTTAATGGATTCATTTTTGATTCATATTGCTTTATATTGCCACATTACTTATTTTTTTTATTCTATTTATTCTTCTTTTTATTTCCACTTTTATTTTATTATTCTTTGGCACTCTCACTATTCCACACTGAGGCGTCTCTGTTGTCAGTAAATCTAAACACCTTCTCTCCTTCTTGCCAGGACCGTCTGTCCAGATGCACGATGCACTGCAACGACAAAGCGAAGGACCTTTTCGACTCCGGCGCCAAAGAACCAGCCGTCCGATCCCTGATGGAGCGCTGCGTGGGCAGCTGTGTGGACGACCACGTCAACCTGATCCCCAGCATGACCCGGAGACTCAAAGAGAGTCTGGACTCTATACAGCAGTGAGGAGCAGGACGGGGCGGCTCGGCGTCCGTCCTAAACTTAGTCTGGGCTCTTTAGAATCACTTACAGCAGGGCTAGTCGCCTGAGGAGCAGGAATAACATAAAAAAGTGGGGAGAGTGAAGTTTAAACAAAGCGACTCTGCCCAGAAACGGTGAGATCTGTCATCAGAGCTGTTGGTTTGTCTGTGAGATGGCGTCTCGTTGTCGTGTGTGAAAAGATATTTGCTCAAAAATGCTTTGAAGAGAGCTGTTCATGTGCATTTTTTTTTTTAAAGAGGTAAATGTATTCAGATATACATGACACAATCCATCAACATGATTCACATGAAGGTTTTTATATTCCGGTGCAGTTCCTCATCATCTTGAGCCCACTCGTCTCTTTTTTTGGTGTCATTTAACTGTAAGTTGTTCAGCATTTTCTGTCATTGTCAGATGTGTTTATATATCTGGATTAAAAAGAAGAAAACCTGTTTTTGACTGCGTTTTCTCTGCATGCAGACGCTGAGACGAAGCAACCAGTTTTTTTGTAACATGTATTTTAATGACGACAGGAATATTCTCAGTTCTGTACAAATAATGGTACAAGAAAAAAAAGGCAACACTGTAGAGTGGCAGCCTGAGTGATGGTAGAAAAATCATACAAGGAGCAGTCGACGCACTGCAGACTCGATGTAAAATCCCCAAAAAACCAGGTTTAATAAACTGTCAAGGTAGAAAATGTGTTAATTCTACAGCTGGTTTAATTATGCGGCCCGGCTGGTGAACTGAAAATGAATTCGTGTTCGCTGTAATGACGATGGGATACGAGCAGGGAGTTGATACAGCAAGACAGACATCAAGTCAGCAGATGGAGAAAGGTGATGATAATAAGACAGCAGTTGAGTCTTCAAACTGGGATATGAAGTGATGATCTCTAAATTCTTACTTTTGGTCCTTCATATAAATGTAAAACAACAAGTGACTGAGGATGAAGAAGTCGAGATAGGAAGCTCTTTGGATTGTTGTTTAAATAAACGTCTGATTTATATCAAGATGTTATTTCAGAGACCAGAACCGACTCTGGAGAGGAGCCAAATGGAAGCTGAGCTGCCTACGCTCTGATCTTCAAGCCGTTCCGACAGATAAATGTCGCACAACAGCTTTAAGTTTCTTGAATAAACAGAGAACGATTTCTCCCTTTGCTTCTTGGTTAATTTAGTTTGAATCTTACGTACACTTTTAAACCAAACTGTCCAACAGCAAGCGGACAACTTTTGGATTTCCCAGATCAGCAACTTCACATCAAACCACTTTCATTCCTCACAAACATCAGTTGTTCTGAACCGGTTCTGTGGAGTTGCGCAGGAATGGTTCTTGATTTTTCCACAACGACCACCTGATGAATGAAAGTGTTACGTACATGCAATATATAAGTAACCAGTACATGATGAGTCAGTGATGATATGAATCAAGTGTAACAGCTCCTGAAACATCTGTGCAGCCGGATTAAAGAGCTTCATTGGACAAACAGGAGGATTACTGTGACAGCACCGCAGCCCGACAGAAAGGGCAGTTTTATTGGCAGTGGAGAATCGTATGTTTTCTGCTGCAAAAAAATACATCCATACAAATACAAATGAAGTAAAAAATAAATAACGGCCAAATAAAAACACCTTTAACTTTGAACTTAAAGACGGTAACAGCGACGCAGACGAGTCACGCCGACTAGAACGAGTCAGCAGTACGCGTCTGCTTTACAGCGCCCCATATTTTTACTGGTTTTCAATACGAGGCAACAGCAAACTGCCAAACAAATGATGAGCAAATGAATCGTACTCAAGTATTTAAAACGTAACTGTAAAGGTAGTGGAGATGTGATGGGAGCAGTCAGTCTGCTCTTGTTTGGATCCGTAGGAGGCTGGATTAACACCAGTGTAGCTGATACGTACTGCAGAAAGCCTCAAACATTTCTGAATCTCAACAAAGACGGTATGCTGAAAACACCAGAAAGCTGGTGTTGGCAGCACACAGTCGCCTGTAAACTGTGCAAATGCAGCTGAAGCTAAACAATCCTGCAGCCTCAAGTCTCACCAGGTTAAATCTGCTTTCTTGACATCATACTGCTGATATATCACTAGATGTTTTTGTTCACATCAGGTTTGATAAATGGACTTTTTGTGATTAATACGAGGTGGTGGACTTCCCATTAAAAAAGCCCTAAAAGGAGCTGGTCAGGTGTTGAACATCACAGAGACGGGATCAGCGTAAGACTAAGTGACCTGAAACAGTTTACGGCGTGATGTGTCCCAGGCTGGAAATCCTGCTTCTACTGCATCTGTCAGTTACCTTCGATTCAACAGTGATGTCTGGCGGTGCGACTCTTTCGTAGCAGCGAGGATGAGGAAAGTTGCGGAAAGTCGCACCTGAGGACGGACGCTGAGTGTACTTGTCTCCTCAGTCGAATATTGACCTACATATCAAGAATTTCAACAGATGACCTCGCTGGTGTGCACGCTGTCAGTGTCATGGAGGTCACATAAGGGTGCTATTGTCCCTCATTCGTGTCTGTTCCTCGTGTCCAAGTCCTCCTGGTGACGATACGAGAGGTAGGATCCACCTGTAACTCTAAGCCCCTTCAGACGTCTCCTCTCTTGTTGTGTCTTCAAAGTGCAGATTGAAAGATCCTAATGATGGGCAACATTTCCAGGTCTTGGGAGGAGAGATGATAAGGTAGAGTTACAAAAAGCACCCGAGATCTAACAGTGCTCTGAAATGTGATGAAAGCCTCCAGGTTCCCTCTATGGGGCTGTTCCCTCATGATGTTCCACGATGATAATGCCTCCAAACGTACTGACGGACCGAATCCAGGGTGGTTTCGTCGAGAAAGCTTTCACCATCATCAGGTAGTTATTATTTAAAGGTCTTAAGAGTCAAGAGCAGATCTCCCCTCACTCAAAAGCCCTGGAGGTTTTCCATCTGGAGCAGTGGTCCAGCATCCCAGTGCAGACAGTACATAGTGATGATACAAGACGGACAGAAGCTGCTATGAGGGCAGGAGGTGGTCTGATCCCCCCTGACCGCTGTTAAACGTCTCTGTTACACTACGAACCCCATGTATACACAGCTAACTCAGAATATGTCGAAATGCTGAATACACAGATACAAAACGTTTTCCCCAAACATCTCACTGAGTTATAGAGCATGCAGACGATATGTCCAATGTCGAAATGGTGTTAAATACGGTGGCGGATGGATTGTACATACAAACGTGTGTCAGTGTCTCAGCGTTTACCAGAGGAATGGTAGCAGTTAATGGCTGGTGAACGGACATCAAGACACGCTGCGAGCAGCAGTGCTCTCTGGTTCTGAGGAATCTGGACGGTGGTCTGAGTGCGGCGACGTATACTGGAAGTTACAGCAGACGTAGAGGGGGAATGATAACAACCGGCTGTCCAGGTTCATCACCACGTACTCCTGAGGGGTGGGAGGGAGAGGAGGGGTAATAAGCAAGTGTACACCTGTCCTTTATAAAGGGTAATGGTGGGACAACTGCAGGTAAACGGCGTTCACCGACCTGGTCTTTCTCAAGGGTGAGAAGCTGGTAACCTGTTGAGCGACTGCAGACCAGCTTTCCTCGGTTATCGAAGGAGGCAAGACGCAACCTGGACAAAAACAAAAGATACTCAAAAAGTAAGGTACAGTTTCCCCAGTCCAGAGCAGCTGATAAACACACACTGCTTTTAAAATAAAAAATAATCACCTTTTGAAAAACATGATTATTTGCTTTCTTGACAAGAGATAAGACCTTTGGTGCCTGTAAGGTAAACTGGCTAACTTAGCTTAGCATAACCCTGAAAACAGATGGAAGCAAAGGCAACATCAAACTGTCATGAAAGAAGTGAAGGAACATATTTCCCAAAATGTCTATAACTATAACTTTAAACAAAGATAAACCTTAGTTGTTGATCAAATATGTACTTCTACTAATGTAGAACCGCATCCACTCAGTTAACCACAAGACTTTAGACCAGGCACCCCAGTGTTCTCTTCTATTAGAAGGTATTTCTTGTGTTTTTATGTATTAATACAACTTTCAGAGCAACTTTAACTGATGATAGGTCATTAAGTATTTGTCAGCTTCAAGAGCATTCCAGACATTTTGTTGACGTTTAACATTTTATCTGTAATTCTGACTACGTAGTTCACGATGATCGTCTTAGTTCCGTTATTTAACACTGCCCTGAACAGTATCTGGTCCACTGAGCCACTGACCTGTATGCCAGATGTCTCCTGGGCTGCAGACTCACAGCGCCCCCACATGGCTGACTCAGAGTATTCCTTTTAAACACTATGAAACGGTTGGTGTAGGTCACCAGCAGGTCGAAACCAAAGTTAAAGCCTGTCCACCGCCAGCAGTACTGCAAAGAGAGAAGATATCAGTTTCTCCTCCGTAGACATGAAACTGAATATATGAACTTTGTAAAAACAAACATGGCTGAAGCCAGGCCAACTTACATCTCCATCTTTAGTCAGCTTCCTGCCACACCTCATACTGCTCAGCTCAAACTCATCCTTGTTGGGCTCCTGAGGACTAATGAGAAAAAAAGATGCCTTTATCATCACAATCAGCATTAAAATGATCTTAATTCCATGTAATTTATGTGTTATGCCACATGACAGTTGAAACTCCACAGGCTCATTACAATGGTTTAGTCTCAAGTTCTCACCCATTATCATTGTCAAATTCTGTCCGGAGCATAGCAAACCACTGGTTCTTGTACACTGACGACAGCCAATCTAGAATATAAAGCATCAGCAGAACAATATTTATAGTACATAAACACAATAAAGAACTATTACAATATAAATACAGGAGAGCAAGGAGATTTGTGATAAAATGAAGTCAGACAGAATCACACATTACCAGGTGGCAAAATGTTGTCTCTCTCCAGGATGCGTGCAGATGCGAGGTCGTTGATGATGTACTGGAGACGCACAAACTTGAACACTGAGCGGAAAGGCGCACCTTCCTCTGTGCTCAAGAAAGGCTCCTTCTCACACACATCTGCAAAAAAGACAGACTTTATTGATCCCTTACCAGGAGAATTCACATGCTGCAGCAGCTACATACACATGGAGCATAGCAAGAAACAAGAAAAACAAAAAGTAAAACAAAGACAAAGACTATTTACACCTTGTACAGATGTGGCATGATGGATAAATGCACCAGAATTGTAGGACACACAGTGTGTATACTTGTGCTTAAAAATGATAGCTCTAGAATACTAGAACTACATCAAGTTGTAGCAGTACAAAAGTTATGAGGAGAACCACATTATGTTGTTGCACATAAAATAAAATAAAGTTAAACAGAAAAAGACTGTGTAACTACTACATGTAGGTAATGACAGACTGAATTATCAGTTGGCCAGTTGGGGATGATTAAATGTCATTTTGAGATAACTTGAATTGGCCAATTCCCAGGAAGACAGCAAAGAGAGGCTACGCTGGGTCAGCCCACACCAGCAAATGGGGCCTGACTAGCTACGAACTCACCTACGGGCTTCCACATCAGTAAGCCTCGCCCCAAAAGCTGGGCAAGAACTACATTTATTACAAGCATCATTATTACTGTAGGTGGCAGAGGAAAAGCTAATCATGTGGCCACTGAGCAGGAGACAGAAGCCATTGCTATGTGCTAGGCTAAAATAACAATGGAGACAATGACAGCGCTAAATAATGTTCCTTTAAATTCAGTATATGTTCTCATCATTACTAAATTGCTGTATGTTATCAGAGGGCTGTGCTACAAAGTGAGATTAACTGGTTACCAAGCTATGCTGACGGCTAAAGTTTTCAGCATCACAAAGGTGATCCTGCGAGATCACCATGGTAACCTATGCTGCAGAGCTGACCTGGTCCGGAGGAGAATCTGTTAAAAGTTTTGGACTTAGATCAGCATTAACTGATGACACTATGATTCTAGCTCTAGTCCCACTGAACAAAGCCGTGCAGTTATGGTATTGAACACAGTCTGCGTTGTGGAATGCACATGAATTCAGCTTGTGATGCAAAAAATGCAGAAATATGTTTGATCTTATTCGTCCATTCTACAGGGCTGGTACTGTAGTTAATAGAACACATTAGAGAAGTGATTAGACTATGATAGAGAATGAATAAAGTTTGAATTTCAACAGCTCTAATGTGCCGGCATCTCATTTATAAGCACCTGTATTGATTGATAAAAAACAAATAGTTGACAGTTTTCTATCGCATTCCTCTCTTGCATCATTTGCAGCATTTCTTTTAGTGTAACAATCTTAAAATATTCTGTTTGGGTCTCTGTTACATCAACAAAGTCTTCTAAGTGAATTAGGCAGCACGTGATCTGTCCATTTTGTGCCGAAGAACAGTCACATGACGCATTAATGTGAACAGAGTCTGAAGAAGAAAGTCTGGACTGACAAAGGAAGCTGATAACCACCGTTGTGACACCCATTATCTCTGACTGGGGTTGTAGGTTTTGTCCAGTCGACTAACACAAAGAAAGCATGGCTGTGTCAAACTTGCGGTACATCAACTAAAGAAGATGCCATTTCACAAGGTGTGGCTTTCAGTACCTGTCCTGCGTTTACAAAGCCAGGCGTCCGCGTCAGCCAGCAGCTGCTTGATGGGGCCGTCCCACAACGGATTGAGCTGCAGAAACATCCACTGCAGAGAGACAAAAGTCCAGAGAGGACAGTTAAACAGGGCTGACAGTAGAGTGACTGTATCTGACAGGGATGGCACATATGTGTGTCTTCCTTTTACCTTTTTTAAAGCAGTGTATACATCCATCTCCACCTGCATGACGAACAGATCCGAGGACTGGATGAGCTGCTCCATCACCTCCGTCCTGTAAACGTAATGCAGAGACTAAAGTCAAAATCAGCACAGAGTAATGTCAGAAAAAGAAAGTAAAGAATCACACAAACCCAATTTCTTTCATCAGGTCGACATTTTGGTGGGTCATCAGGTTGTTAAGAAGCCACTCAAGACACCTGCAGGAAGAGATGCACAGACACACATACATATATTAAGATGTATAAATACTGTATAAGCAAGTCCAATGCTACAGTACTGTATAAACAAATACTGTGTAAACTAATACAACAAAAACAATCAAAAAATATAAAAAAATCTGACTTTTTCATGACTGAATCCAGGCCATAGATGCTGGCACAAGCATAGTAGCCGCACACAGTCTTCGCACTGATGTTTTCCTTCATGGTTTCGCCACACTGCTGGATCAAACCATCCTGCCAACATTAACAGAGCATAAGACTTAATTACATTTCGTATCATATGACTGCGTATTTACAAAATCAACATGCTCATTTTAGACAATGGCCGACTTCTCCGGTTTTTACTCACCAGCTGCAGCATGCAAGCAGCAGCGAGAATACTGACGACTCTGCTGGGCTTGATCAGAACATCGTCACGGTACAGAGATCCAAACACGACTTGCAGAGCTGCAGGAACACAGAACCGTAACGAGCTATCAGCAAAACAACGACAGGTTTAAAGAAGTTAACACCCGTTTTTTCCGTGACTCACCCTCGGTGTCGATGTTCTGGTCTGGGATCTCCAAGTTAATTTCCATCATGTTGGACTCCTTCCAAGAGCCGCTGAACATGCTGGAGAAGTAGCCCGACTGTAAAATACAGGACAGAAGGACAGTAAACAGATGCAGAAGAAGATTAAATGAAAAACAAACATATTGTTGATTGTTTTTGAGATGCTTCAAGTCTTGGTTCTACCTGACACAGGTACACTTTGTGGAGGTTCCACTCTTGTCCCAGAGCACAGATGCGGATGTCACTATTTTCCCCATTCAGAAACAAAGTCTGATAAATGTATCTTGATGTACTTTTCAATTTCTTCCTGCTCAAAAACAGTAACAGAGAGAAAAGAAAAAAACAAAACAAAAGTGAGACAAAATACTAAAGACAGTGATATTTGACACTGAGTAGATTTTTGGTCCTCTGACTGAACCTGCCTGCGAGGTGTATCTAGCACGGCATCGTCCTCCTCTTGTTCACTGTCACAGTCACACTGAGCATTTCGTTTCCTCTTCTTACAATCACAGCCGTGTTTGCGGCTGGCACTTGAACCCTCTGCAGCCTCCTCCGGTCCCTGAGAGGGGGACTGGAACCGGCTGCCCAGGTTTCCCATTTTTATCCCTTCAAAGAAACACAAAACAAACAGGTCAGCTATTCCATATCTTGGCAGTGCACCAGAGCTGTATGAATCAATATCACTGAAACAGATTATGTCCGGGACTTTGGCTGTTGTAGTTTTTTGGCAAAGCTTGTGGTGGGGTTATTCTGACACTTTCTTTTAGGAATTGAAATCAGTAAAATACGTACATGAGAACAGCTTTTTAGGGAATTCAGCTGCATTAAAATGTAGCATATATGAGCACAGAGAGCAGGAGAGAAGCAAACAGATGTAAAAACTAGCCAAGCTCACAATGCACTGAAGCGTCAAAGCTAATAGTACTGATAGCCACCATAAAGCTAACACCAAGGATTTACTATCTTTGTAATGAGACTGCCATAAAAAAATGACAGTAGTCCACTAAGTCATCAGTTCTTAAAACACTGGGAGTGCATAAAGACACTTGTGTTCACTCTTGCAGCCAACAGCAGAACATTTAATGTGTTTTGCTCGTAGCTGAGACACTTTAAAGTGAGCAGCTCTGGCATGTAAACAGATCTGGTGGACTGTGAGGTGGCTGCACTCTCTGAATGGCTCATCTTAAGCAGTGGGCAGCGTGGGAGCAGGTTTACACAAAGTCTGAGCTGCACAACTACTGGTGTGTTAGCTGGTATGCAGCAGCTCAGTCAAATTCTTACTGGCTTGTAAAGCAGCGAGGCTAACTAGCTGTAGGGTGGCTTTAGGAATGTTAGCAGTAAACACCTTCAAGATCTCAACAGCTTTCAGTACGCAAAAGTACATAAAAATTAATTTTCACCATACAGGATCTTCAAATGGCTAATGAAGGCATTTTGGCACATTGATTTTCCTAACAATGCATTACAAATGAGAACTTATACAATTAATTTGACTGTCATAAAATGAATGAAATGCTTGGACATCTTATTCCACACGTTTTATGTTATGTTATGTTGAAAATGCCACTAAACATGATCAACATGCAGCTACACCTACATATTCTGCTTAGCCTTGTTCCTTGTCTTCATCAAAAATGCCATCATCTACAGTGTTCATAGAAATGCACATAGCAGTATTCCAAACTTGTTAATTAATGAGAAATTGTTATTACAGCTAGATATGATTCTAATAAAGGTCAGATATCATCTACAGGTGTCTGAGATTATTATCTACTTGTGTTTTAGAGGCTGCTGCCACAAGAAAATAAAGTCTGTTCAGTTTAATTGACTACACCTGTTCACTGCAAAGTCAAGGGCTGCTCTCCCATCATCCCATGCAAAGCAGACACACAGTTTGTTTACCAAGAGAAGCACTTGGCTAACTTACCTGATGATTAGAGCAGGGCAGGTGTAAGGTTAATGTGGACAGCTGATAATCTCAGGTCAGACAGTCTGACAGCCGTTGACGAGCCAGTCCGAGGGGAGCTAACCTCACAGCTAGCTTAACTGCCAAAATCACAAACAAAGGCACGGCTGAAAAGCGTAGCAGTGTTTATTCTGGCCGGCTGCTGCTCCACACGAGCCTCGAGAGCGCAAAACTCCCTCCGGTTCCAGTCACATTGTTCTAAAATTCTGTAAATGTGGACCCAGAGGCAGGAGATGATGTGTAACTACCCTGAAAATATGAGGCTGCTTTTGTTTTTCTTCTTCGTTCGGTTGCTCACGGCAGCAATTGAACGTCACGTATGCGGCGGCTGCGCTCACCGGCGCCCCCTACCGCGGGACGGACGGTAAGGCAAGTCCCCAAACGGCCAATCAGATACATGCAGTCGTCCTCAAATGTATTCATACCCGTCCATTAAAGAAAAGGCAAAATTCCCAATAGTCACTGAAATAACTAGAAACGAAGAAAATTAATAATAAATAAAAATGTCTTAAATTATAATTTAGTGAAATAAGACATTGCTTTTGAATTGTAGTTAAAAGAATATTTAAAAAAAAAACAAAAAAAAACAAGCAAAACTGTCTCGGACAAATTAGAGCACTTTGCTGATGAGCAGTGGACCAAAATACCTGTCAACAGGTGCAGACGTCTGACAGAAAACACTTGATTGCAGTGATTGCCTCAAATGGGTCCCATTATGCTTGATTGCTTGTTTTTTTTGTTGTTTTTTTTGCTGTTTTTTTTGGTTTCTTTTTTATGTATATTTCTGTTGAACCACAATTCAAAAGCAATGTCATGATTTCCATTACATTTTCATATGTTGTTACTTTTGGCAGTTTCAACTTCTTCCAGTGACAGCTGTTTTTTTTTCTTCTTTAACAGGAGGGTATGGATATGTTTGAGGATGACTGTATTGTATTAATACATTACATACACATTGTGCTAATACATCAGTCTGTCTGTTAAGATACAGTCTAAAACTCAAATGAGTACATCTCTGTGCAATATCACCTTATTATTAAATTACGGTATCATCTCTCAATAACTGCATTATTTCTAAGTTTTTTTTTTAAAGTATTGTATCTGGTCTTATTTTGAAATTAAAAAGATGTAGTTTGAATTTACTATATTAAAAAGACAGATTACACAGCAGGCACCCAAAGCATATTTATGTATTTATTTATTTATTGACAACATACTCAGTCCGCCTCAGTAGGGAAGACACCAAATTTCTGGAGACGACATTCTTCAGAGACAGTTTCTCCAGCTGATCTTTGTTAGAGGGGTTGTGTTTATCTACTTTTCTCTTTTAAGTACCTCAGAGGTGTTCTATTGGTGGGTTCTATTAGTGTGGCCAGGACGTAGTTTTTATTATTTCTTATTTTGAAATTGCTGTGCGATTGAAGCAGTGTGCTTTGGGTTGTTATCATCCTGGAGTTTTCCTCTTCCTCCAAGCTTCTGGAGACTGGGAGTCATCTTGTCAGCCAGTAGTTTGGGACTATCCACAGACATTCATGGTGCCATTTGTAAATGCCATCCCCCCAACAACTGTTGACCACATGTAACCCTATATCATGGCCACTGCAGCTCTCATTAGTGATACTATGGGTAGTTCTGTACCTCGTGATTACTCCTGTAACTGTGTTTCTACTCATTTTTTGTAGGTCACCGACCGTCTATTATCCTTTTCCATCTTTGTGAAGTCTCACAGTCACATTGTTCAGTTTGTCTGGTAATTGTTTTTCCATGTGGAGCCATAATGCAAACATGCAGACAGACACAGCCCAATGGAGCAATATTTAGAAAGTTCTGGTGTTCACAGGCCAATTTATAACCATGTTCAGGCAATTGGGTGAATTGGAAATCACAGATGTTCTCAATTTTGTTTCACTGATCACAGGTTTTCTAATCTCTATTTGACAATTTAGAAATAATGCCATCATTAAGAGGCCATTTGAAATCATTTTAGATGGAAGTGATTTTGCACAGTGGTGTACTCGTTCCTTTTCATTTACCACAAGCCTTTAAACAGATACTAATTAACTGACAAGATAAACATGAAAAATGTGAAGACCAACCCTAAACAACTAAACAGCAGCTGAACCTTATTGATTGTTCTGTCTGCGTCCTATAAAGAGTCCAAAGGGCGCAACCACGTCACTCGGCTGTGTGTTGACTCTGAATGCAGACTTTAAAAAAATGAAAAAAAGAAAAAGTGTTGCATTTACTTACCGTAATCATTTGATCTTATGGAGCTGTGCAATGGCACAAAAAACAACTAAACAAGGTAAATGTCAAAATATCACGTCCAAATGTTAGTTTGCAGAATTTACAAGAGGGGAACAAGTAAAAAAAATAAAAACTATTTTTAAAAAAGCACTTTATTGCAAATTTAGAACACATTTTAGGACATACTTTACATGCAAAAAGCACAGAGACGTTTCTTTTATCAAATATGAAAAATTATGAAGTGGAAACTAGTAAAAAAAATATATATTCATGTTTGACCAGAACGAGAGAAAAACAAGAAAATAGTCACACTTGAAAGCATGTTTGAAACAAAAAATCAGACATACAACATTAATGTCTAACATATAAATTAGATATGCAAATATCAAGCTTTACCTTTGTAACAGACAAATAAAAAAGATGAAAAAGACACACAAAAAGCCTCCCTGTGATGTTAACAGGCCTCGTTATATTCTGGTTGTCTGAGTGAGACAGCGTCACTGCATCCAGACCAATCGGTTCACAAAGGCCTTTCATGTTCCTCCATCTCAGACCACTTCAAAACCTCTCACACCTCATTCCCACGTACACTCGACTTTAAATAACAAACCCAGCTTGACCAAGACCTCATAGAATAGAAGCTAATCTAAATCCAGAGTCAGATGAAGTGTTTAGTCTACAATCATTGGCAACGGTCAAAACATGTGGCCAGTTTCTATAGACAACAAGACGTGGTCACCTTCCAAACCCTTAAAGAAATAATCAAAAAGTATAAGAGGGGGTATTCTTGAACAAAACAAATGTTTTAGTCAAGATTTATGTAAAAATAAAAACATAAAAAAAAGGTTTTGAAGGCAGTTCCATCTCTGGATTTTGATGGATGGCTGAATTATTTTCTTTATTAAATGATGTCAGATCTATATTCAGTTCAAAACAAGGCACTAAACAAGATTGCCCTTCATACAACCATGTGTCTTTAATATCTCTGCCTACTTTTGACACAGAGGAGATTACAGACTCCACAGCATTATCTCTTCTTCAAAGTTTCTTATTCAATAAACAAAATGCTGGCAAACAGATAGGAACAAACAGCTGCCTGACTGCCCTCCAGTGGCATCCTGTGGTACTCTAGTCAAGGGATAAGTTGGAAATAACAAAGACTGACTCTGAGAGTTCTTATACAGTCTGTGTGAGATACTGCAGACAAAAATAAATTGAATAAAACAAGCATAACAGGCAAGGATCACCTAATCAAATCTCTCAGGAAGTTTGTGTTGACTGGCTCTATCTTTGTTGTGTGTCTGCTGTAATTCTTGTTAAGACTCTAGATCTCTGTAGACATGTTTGGACTCCATGCTTCATATTTTCCAGAACCTAAATCCACTGTGTGTGTGTGTTTGGCCACAGACTTTGGGGGTGTTATGGTTTGTCTTGGTGATGTGTCTTGAAACACAAGACACCTACACCTTTGTACTTCTGTAATAACCGTGATCACCGACACACAAGTTAGAAAACCTGTGATCAGTGAAACAAAATTCAGTACTTCTGTGATTTCCAACGAGCCATAGTACCACTAATCAGAGCTGCAGTGGTTGTCTTACAAAAGTAATGCCACAGACACTTTTACTATCGACCTCTGACAAAACAGACGGGCAAGTGCTTCAGACTTGTTATCAAAGGAAATCAGACTTCTGTGACAGCTCAGACAGTGTAAAGGACATTGCATAATGTCTCTATGAATGTCAATGTAGAAAAAAACTCTTGCTTGCATGTTGGCACAAACCTACAAGATGAAACTTTGCAAAAATAGCAGAAGCCTGATGAATATTAACACATTCTTTGATCAGATGTCAATTAAGATAAATTAGTTGGACTCAGACTGGGGTCAGCGTGCTTGCTGTGAACCTGGTCAGGACCACCACAGTGCATGCATAGTCCTGATAGTGAAGCCCAGAAGTGGGAGTGTAATAATATGGGGCTGCAAAAGTGCAACAGCTGTTGGGGAGATGACAATAATAGATGGCACCATGAAGGCCTGTGGATATGCCAAAATTTTGGCTGACAAAATGTCTCCCAGTCTCCAGAAACTTGGCAGAAGAGGAGGATTCTAACGTGATAGTGGTTAGAAGCACACTCCTTAAGTCATACAGGACTTTCTATGGGAAAAAAAAAAATGAAAACTAAGATTTGGCCAAGTATGTTGCATGACTTGAGGCAGTGGTGGGTGTGGATGTTATTTGTTTTTGTGTTTTCTTCAGTTTTTTTTTTTTTTTTCATTAAGTGTCTATTTTAAAAATAATGTTTCTTTTGGTGACATGCAAACAGCACAACACTGCATTTTTTAAAATCATCTATCTACGCAGAGGCGTAAAATTATATCTTCCCTGCTTTAAACATAATCCTATTTCTTTTTACATGCAATAACACATTTTTATAACAGCTATTTACTTTTTTTATGTGACTATTTCTCATACATACAAACCTTCCATTGTGGTTTCAAACCGGATGTGACGTATTAGAAGCCGCCCTCTAATGGGCGGGTCTTTGGAGGAATCAGCCAATAGGAGCTGAGAACCTGTTTCACAACATTCCAGTACCTCCCAGACCTTCCTCCTCCTCCTCCTCCTCCTCCTCCTCTCTGCCCCTCAGGCTTCTGTGTGTGACACGTAAACTTTGTCCGGTCCAGTCGTGCCCACACAGGACACCTCCACCTGGGGCAGGGAGAGCAGAGAGAGGCCCTGTCCCGAACCGCAGTCCGGCATTTAGGAAAATGGAGGCGAGAGACGCGATAGCAGGTGAGCTTGTTGTTAGCACAGACGCTGTGTTGTTGTTTTGTCTGGTGTAATAACCGGTCAGACCAACGTCTATCACTGAGTGAGCTGTTTTCTAAACCACAGGCGTGTCTTAGCCAGAGGCGGACGTGCTGTAAATCATGCACTAGTGAGTTGGTCTCATGCTCCACTTTGTTTAGGTGCTCTTGTGGGCAGTGATGGAGAAGAGCAAGCTGCACAGGAAGCTCCTAAAGCAGAAAAAACACCCACCAAAAGCAAGATGGAGCAGCTCTTTGGGTTCAAGAGGGAAGACCTGAGCTCCTGGCAGAGCCTGGTGGCCCTCCTGAACCGCCCCACTGACCCTGCATGTCTGGGCATCTTCCGCTGCTTGTTTGGTAAATTAATGCCATTAGTTCATTCTGGCTGTCTTTAATACCTGTTGAAATGAGTGCCACCTGGTTCATTATGTGTCTTTTAAACAGGTATGCTGATGGCTATTGACATCACCCAGGAACGTGGCCTCAGTCACCTGGACTACAAGTACCTGGACGGGGCTCCTGTGTGTCGATTTCCCCTCTTTAATTTCTTACAGCCGCTGCCGATGGACTGGATGTACCTGGTGTACATGGTGATGTTCCTCGGTGGGTCACGCTCATTGTTTCGTGGTAGAGATGTTTACAGGTTAACAGGTTCAAGTGATTTTAACGTTTAGTACAGGAGTGTCGACATCCGGTCCTCGAGGGCCGCAATCCTGCATGTTTTAGATGT